CCTCTCAGACTTCTTTTACTGAGAGGTCCGGACGGAATTTCAGTCAGATACTTGCAGGTCAAGGCGGAATTCTGGTCAGGTACATCTGGGAAAACTGGTCCCTTTTTTTTTTTTTTTGTACAAGGCCCCTGTGCAAGGCTTCTATCCCAGTGGTGGTAAGAGAACCACCGGGATTGAGGCTTCGCTCCATCTATTGGTGGGGAGCATCACCTGCTGGAAACCGGGCCCAGTGTCCCTCTTAAGAAAAACATGAGATGAGTTGCGGAAGAACACAGATGCTGGAAACGCGGTCCAGCGTCTCATCACTGTCTATAATCCTAGACCTGTTGGTTGGTCTTCCTATGCTGAGAGCTAGACCTGAGGGTACACTACCTTCTTCCATTGAACACAACACACGGTCATTAAAGCGGTATTTTGGGTATCGTTCAATCTAAATACATCTATAATGACCGTACATTGTACTTGGGGGGGGGGGGGGGGGGGGGGGAGAGGAGAGATAGTGCGAATGCACACACCCTCAGGAGGTCTTCCAGCATGACAGTGTGCGCATTCGCTGATTCTGCCCTTGATGTGCTGCAACACACCGTCTTGATGTGCTTCTGCCCAATGCAAGACGGTGTGCTGCAGCACATGAAGGCACCTTGGTGTGCTGGTTTCTGCCCGAGGCAAGACGGTGTGCTGCAGCACCCCAACGCACCTTCCTCTACTGATTCTGCCCAATGCAGAACACTGTGCGGCAGCACGCCAATGCATCCTCCTGTGCTTATTCTGCCCAAAGCAGAAGACTATGCTGCAGCACAGCAAGGCACCTTGGTGTGCTCCTTTTGCCCAAGACAAGACATGCCTCCCTGTGGGGATGATGTCAAAGGTAAGATGGTGTGCAGCAGAACAGCAATGCTTCTGGGAACCCACTTTCTGGGATGGCTTCCCCCGTTCGTCCCCAAGTGTACCTTTTACCCTTGTATGCTATTTCGCCCAAAATTTCTCAGACTTGAAATCGCACCTTATCTCTGTTTCAAAAGTCAGCGGAGACCCTTGCGATTTTGTGATTCGACTCTGGTAATGCATGCAATTACTGAGACTCGGTCCGTTTGGCGGGATCGATACCTAGGGCATCCCGAATTCTAACCAATTGCGAACTTGGGATGGAGGTCTCTGTATTTTCAACTCTTTATTCTAACAAAACTCTCGACTGAAGTCGGATTGAACTTATATATATACATTCTACTGAGTCTACTCATACTTCAATTCCATCACGACTATGGCTATTGTTTATCGGATTCCGGGCTCGATTTGGTTCAGTATAAAGGCCGAAGGCTTTCTGTTTTTCTACGATATACCTCCTGATGAGTCGGTGAAACTCCGACGAAACAGTTTGTCACAGCCCCTCGTTTGTTGTCCTCTTCTCCCTCTCTGCCTACGGTTTACCGGGCAGTTCTATTTGACGATATATAT